GTCCTGCCCTGATGTGGCACACCTAAGACCATCAGAATCTGGTAGCTGCTGCTCCATCATCATCTTCCTCCTCCTCCTCCTCCTCCTCATCATCATCATTTTGAGCAGTGTCTCACTATATAGAACTGACTGGCCTGGAGCTCACTGTATAGACCAGGCTAGTGTTGAACTCAGAGATCCTCCTGCCTCTGCCTCCTGAGTGCTGGGATTGAAGATGTATGTCATCACCACCCAGCTCCTGTATATGCCTCTCTGCTTCCTCGTTCTCTGGTTCTTCCTGCTCCTTCCGATCCTCCTTTCCTCCCTCTCATCTTCTCCTCATCTCTTCCTCCTCCTCTTCTGCCTCCTCCCTTTCTTCTTCCTCCCTCCTTCACATCCTCCCTTCCCTTTGACATCTCAGACTTCATGACTTGAGCCAAGAGGACTAAAGGGAAAGGCTGGCCTTCCAAGTCAGTGCGTCTGTCTACACCACGCTTGCTCAGGACTTATTTGTGCACCACTTCTAGGAGACTCGGTCTCACGGCAGGTGGCAGACCTGCGGGACTTCTGTCTCGGCAGTCTTCCTTCTTCTGGGGTGTTCCTGCACCTTTGTTGCAGGAGGTGTGTACTTGGGGCTGGACCCTCCAGGGTCTGTTGACCTCCGAACTGTGCCCGCCCAGCTATGGTCTTCTGTAATGGTCTCTACTCGCTCTAAAGAGGGGACTCTTCATGAGGGGTGAGGGCTATACGTCTCGGTGGATATAAGAGAAAATCTCAGAGTCCCACACCTAGGCATGGGCAGCTAATGACTCTTGAGAGAGGAAAAGTTAGCCTCTGATTGGTTAGTCAATATAAAGTGGTAAGCCCCGAAATTATAGGCATACAAACAATAAAAATGACAATGGTCTGATCTCTCTCTCTCTCTCTCTCTCTCTCTCTGTGTGTGTGTGTGTGTGTGTGTGTGTGTGTATGTGTGTAACAGTAATTGAACAAAAGGGAGGTGGGGCAGGGAGTATGGGAAAGGTTGGAGGGAAGAGGGGAATGATGTAATCATATTTTAATTTAAAATATATTAAATAAAAAAAGTTGGCTCAGCCTTCCATGGAGGCAGATTGGGAATGAAGAAGTGAATGGCATCGATGTCTCTCCAGGAGAAAGAGCTGACACCTTTGGACTTAATCTTTCCTCTTAAGGGCTCAGCTTCCTTCATCCCAGTCAGTTATAGACCACCCATGGTCCAGCTCCCCTTCAGGGTACATTAGATGCACACAGACTCTGCCTGCTCGGGTCACATCCTGGATTCCAGGTTAGCCACTGGGAAGGAACTCATCTCCTGCTTCTGAGCAAACCCCACTGCCCTGATGCTGTCTTTAGTCAGTCCCTTCTTTCTGTGGGGCAAGTTCACACGTGTTGATGGTACTGGGACTCTGTGTATTACAGAGGAAGCTGGGGTTTTGCATAATTATTCATATGGGAGACAGAAGGGTGTCCTTATGGGAAATGCTTGACCTAGCTGCCAGGAATTGCACCCCATCTGTCCACAGGGGTGCCTGCTCCTGAGGCTGTCCACCCCACTCTCAGTACAGCTTTGTCCTGGAAGCACCTGCATCTTCCCCATCATCCAGACTCAGCACCTCCATGCAGCCTACAGCAGTCTTTGCTGAGGGCCCATGCCAGTCGCAGCAGTCCTCAGCAGGGCACACACTGGATCCACCTGGGGAACGTTGACTCTAGGTTCCGCCCTCATCCATGTTGACTTCCTGGGAGCTGGGAAAGTCCTGGCCATTGGAATTTCGGAAAGCTTCCCAGTAGGGTTGTAATGTGTTTCTAGGGTCAAGAAACAACTGAGGGCTGTGGAGAGGCTCTGTGGATTAAGCATGTGGAACACATGTGTGAAGACTTGAGTTCTAATCCCCAAACTCACAAATAGCTGGGCAAGGGTCTGTAAAGTACACAAATGTAATTCCACGGCAAAGAGGGAGGTAGCAGCAGGAAGTCACCTGAAAGTTTGCAGGACAGCTATGTGGAATGGTGACAAATACACAAGACCCTGTCTCCACTAAGGTGGAAGGCTGAAACCCCCACAGGCAGCCCTCTGACCTCCACAAGTATGTGATGCTCCCGACAAAGACTGTTTTTTTTTTAAATAAGGGAGTTGGAGAGATGGCTCAGTGCTTAAGAACACACGTTACTCTTGGAGAGGACCAAATTAGGTTCCCAGCACCCACACTGGGTAACTTAAAACCACCTTAGCTCCAGCTCCAGGGGGTCCAACAAAAGCTCTTCTGGCTTTCAAGGGCACATCTATGCACTTGTCATATACACATGCGCACACACACATAAAATAAAATCTTTAGGAAAAATAAAGGAACCTGGAGAACCAGGGCAGAGTCTCTCAACTAGAAGCAATGTTGTGTCCCCACCCTCTATTCTTTTCATATGGCAGTGTCTGAGACACTTCTTATCATCGTCCCTCTGGGGCAAGGGTGCTTGTGTATCCAGGGACACCACCAAATCCCATGGTGCATAGGAAAGTGGTGGGCTTCACATGTTCCTGGTAGATCAGGGTTCACACACTGGAGAGCACATGGGGTGACTGGAAGATATGTGTATAGCAGGGGCCTTGGGTGTGACTTGGTATGTAGAGCACTTGTCTTACTTGTACAAAGCCCTGGGTTCCATCCCTAGATTCTTAACTAGTTCCTGTGTGATCATGAAGCTGTTGGCCCAGGTCTATGGACTGAAAAATTCATCGTGATGATTAGAAAACGCTACAACAGAGAATAAAGACAGAAGAGCCTTTCCCTTGCATAACAGAAATCATAAAGGAAACCATCCATGCCAATCAAGCATCACTAGAGTGGCCAGAATCCAGCCCCGCCTTCTCTTAACCATTATAGGATATGATTGTCTCTAGTAGACCAATATGGCTGCTGTAGGACCAGCCATCGTGACCTTATTAAAACAGGAGGGAATAAAGATGGACTGGCTTGAGGCTCCCTAAGAGCAGCCTGCCCTGAACTCCAGTAGCTTTACTTGCATCTCAGTGGTCAGCTCTTATATAGCTGTCCTTGTCACACAAGAATCTGAACTCCATCACACTAACGTTGTATTAACAAACAGAAAGGGTGGGATAGATATTGGGGCGGGCAAGGAGAAGCCGCTTTGACTGGCATCTGAAAGCCTAAGCTGTCCTAAGCATTATCATTTCATTAGCATCCGCCATTCACCAGATGGTTTCCATGTATTATCTCATTTAATCCCAAGAACTTCGTAAGGTGGATGATAATATTATTTTTATTTTACAAGTGGCAAAATAAGCCCCCCTTTCAGAGATTAAGCCACTGCCCAAGTCCCTGGGAGTAAATGCTGTCATTTAACAGGCTGCTTCATAGCTTGGGCTTCCTTCTTGACTCAGTTGCTCTTAGAAGCCTGCCTTTTTCTTAGTCTGCAGGATCTTGGCTAGTCTCACTGCTAGTGATGAATTTGCCTTTCCCATTGCTTCTTGGAAAATCTTTGGGGATGGAGGTTGGGTCTGGTAAGTTGGCTCAGTGGTACAAGGCTTGCCTGACATATTTGTAGCCCTAGGCTCCATCATTACATGGTGAAAAATGTCTTAGTGGAAGTGTGGGCAGACACAGTACTGTCTGAGGCTAAAGAGAAGGTACCTACAGAACTGATTTCCTCTAGACACTCCGGGGGAGACACGATTGCCTTCACTGTCCCTGGTCCTCAGGACCCCCTCCTGGAGCCTGCCAAGCTCTCTCTTCCATTCCCACACCTCTCCTTCTGTGCTCCACCCCTTGCGTCTTTGATGATGCTGAGGGTGACCCAGAACTCCTGTCTCAGACCGCTGACCTCACACTGTCCACGCATCTCTTTTTTGTCATGCAAGGTTACATGAAGGATAGCATCTTTCAATGTCTCCTTTTTTTCCCCCTTCTACTGGCTGCTGCAAACTACATAGATTGTACGCGTACTTGGGCAGGGAAGCTTTAAAAGCGGACAGAAGGTAGGCCTGGCAATTCATGCTTGTAATCCCAGCACCCAGGAAGTGGAAGCAGGAAGATTGCTTTAAGTTCAGAGCTAGCCTGGACTACATTGGGATTGCCAGGCCATGCTGTACTGCAGAGTGGGAGACCCTGTCTCAAAGATGACAACAAATATAAGAGGCCAGATATGAGGACCAAGGCAAGGCCGTGGGGTGGGTACCTTGTCTACTCTGTCAAAGCAACACATAGGAAGACGGTCCAGCACAGAGGGCAAGGAGAGAGGGTTCCTCCCTGGGTGTGATTGTGTCACCTTGATAGAGTGGCTTCATATGTGGCCCAAGATGTCATCGGGAGGGGAATTCCCAGTAGATACTATAGTTTTCTACACAGCAAGCTTCGTCAACCTTGGCTGCCATCCCTGTGACTTTTTCAGCTCCCAAACTTCTTTTTCAATCCCTGCACCTCTTTCCCTCTTTCCTTCCCTCCGGGATGACAGAGGTAAGGGCTCTAGGAACATTTCGACACGGGCGGGGAGAACTTCCCCATGCCAGAACCCCACTTCCTACCAGAGGTCAACTCCCCACCTCCCCCCCCACACCCTCCCTCTGTCTACTTCTACCCTCTGAGGGCGCCGGTCTGGGGCCTTGAGTGCTTTGCTTTGGATTTTGTTTGGTAAATTCCTCATGGCGGTCTGTCTGTGCTGAATGTCCTGCTGTCAGCTGCGTGGAGTTGCTGAGCAACAAGAAGGAAACCCCATCACTGCCAATTAACTTGCCAGCTGCGTGGCCTGTCTCCTGGGCGAAAAGGCTTGTGGGGATCTAGGAGACAGCCCTGGGGGCTGGTGCAGAAGGAGAAAGGAAACTGGGGGAAAGTTAAAGAACTCTGGGGTTTGGGGGTATGCTTTGGGTCCAAATGTGAAGGAGTATGTGAAGGGGCTGGGGGGGGCTACTCCTGGAATGAGTAGGACCACCGGTCAGAACTCACTTTTTTAGTCTGTGATTTTGAAGTTAAGATTGTCCCCTTCCCCAGCTCTCTTGCAGATATGTCTTCAAGCATCTTCTGCCCCGGGTGTCCCCATCACTCCACTCATCACTTTGGGCCTCATGGTGGCTGCTCTATCCTGCCAAGAAGACATGTCACCCAGACATTTTCACATTGAGCCTCTGGAACCCAACTCCTCAGGGCGCTACTATCAGCTATGGATACCCTGGCTTCTGGCTTGATCATGAGACACAACTCCTTGCCTGCCATGACCTGTGTGGATGATACTTACCTGACTGGCTTAGTTTAGATCTGAGCATCTCTCCCCACAAGGTACCTACAGATGGCCTGCTCACATTTCTCATCCTGGACTGATGGTGGTTGCCGAACCCAAGACCTGTAAAGCAGCTGCCTTCATAGGCCAACACCATCTCCAGTGGCCAGACCCAGTCAGCACTGAAGTGGGGTATTCCCCAGAGGGACTCAGTGATTTGTTGTTCAGCATTGTGGGTGATAAGAAGCGGGAAGGATCTGTGAGGAGTGTGCACCTGCCCTCATCTATTTGCCCTCAGACTGGGAGGGCAAATGTGTTCTGTGGGAGCCCTGTCCATTCTGAGTCAATTATTCTACAGTGGGGACGCATGGAGTCTACTGCAACCATTTTTATGTCATCCTCTGAGGGACCCGTGTGTGTTCTGAGCCAGTGTTTCTACGGTCAGGATGCATGGACTCTGCTGTGACCATTTGTATGGAAAACTGGACCCCATTGTTCTGGGGACACTAGCGTGTGTCTGTGCACACTCATCTATCAGCTCTGAGTGTGGCACTAGGGTGTATGCACCAGGCTTCTTGGGGATGCTCCAGTGAGCAGGGAGTTTTCCGGGGAACAAGACATAAGCCTCGCTTTCTACCAGCCCTTAGCTGGAGCACTGTGTGCTGTGTTCAGATACTGCAGAACTCTGTGGCATAGAGTTGGAAAAGGGAAGTCTTGTGGAAAGAGCAGATGCCACCACCTAACTCGTGCTGTCTTTTGGTCCACAGGCCTAGACGGAGGCTGACCAAGGGCTGTTCCTGCTCACCCATGCTACTCACCAGCAGCTCCCTGGAACCGTGGAAACTATGTCCCTGGCCCTCCTTTTAGGACTTGGCTGAGATCAGGCTACTTCTTGGGAGGCAAGAGGCCTGGATTCAACTGAGGAACATTATTGTGGAAAATAGAGAAACTTCTAGACTGTGAAGATATTTGAGAAGCAATGATCTGTGTTGACTTGAGTGAACAAAGACATACATCTCTGGATGTTCCCCACAGCTGGGGAAGGCTCACTATCCCAACTCATCTACAGTCTCGTAGAAGACAAGTCCCTGATGCCACTACCCGGGATACTCTTCTCCACCCCGCCCTTGTCCCAGGCACCACACCCTTCCCTGCCTGACCCTACCTCGCCTTTGGACCCAGAAATTCTTCTTATTTGCTCTATTATCTTCGAGCCGGATGCAGAGTGAATAGTTAACTATGCTTGAGTTGAATGGGATCTAGATTTTGTTGTTGTTTTTTCTGTCCCTTGTAAAGGGGTCATTCTCTGTGCATGGCATGCAGCCCGGCAAAGGTATGTGACTCCAGAGTGACACGAGCGTCATCATGAAGGTTCCGTGGGCTCTTGGAGGTCAGGGCAAGTGGAGATGACTGAGCAGGGGAGTTGAATATGGCTGGTGCTTGCTGTGGTCTTGCACGGGTTGGATTCCATGCAGGTGTACATTTGGACTGGTAGAGGTGAAGCCGTCTTCCGTGACACGAAAGGGATGCGCTAAAAGACCTTCTTCAAAGGTGGCAGTTGGCAGTCAGTTTACCCAGGTGCTGTGTAACTGAGCCGCCAGCTCCGTTAGTTGTGCCTTCTGAGGACATCCTCCCCCTGGCATGTGCTGCCGGAAGCTGGAGCCTTCTCTGTCTTCTCCTCTGTAGCCTCCACTTGTGCAGCTGGAAATCCTTCCTAATCCTGTCATGATTCCACCTTCTTGACTGCGCACTCGAGAATGTTTGAGATTTTTTTATGCATAAAATGGATTGATAGTTTGTTTATGTAAGGCAGTCCAAGCTTCCTTGCATTGTCATTGGTGGATTTCTATGGCTGTTCAGTGACTTTGCAGTGGGGTATTGACTTTGGCCGCTCAGATTCTCCATGGTGGAATTGAAGAGACCTCCTAAAGATGTTTAATGCTGCTGAAACACAAAGAAGGCTTACAGATTCCCTCCCTCCTCCTTCCCTCCCTAAGCACACAGTGGCATCATCTGTATTGCATGAGCGTCTTCAGGTTTTAAGAAATGGTAACCCATTCTTATCGGCTCTATAGGTCTTTTCTAACAGCGGATAAGGCAATAGAAATGGTTGGAGGGGCTGCCCAGGTGGCCTGCCCCGTAATCCCATAGTTATACCATGTGCTCCAGAGCAACAGGGATGACAAGGACAGTAGCATCCGGACTGTCATGCTCCTCCATATGTAGTAGGAAATTGTGTTCCTAACTCCCACATTCCACTCTGTGTGAGGCTGGGGAGATCCAGTCATCCCAGCCTGCCAAGGACAAGGTATTTCTTGGTACAAAAGATTTGGGGGAGCTAAACCTGGGGGCTGACTTGAGAAAAGTTGGTCATCCTACTGAGTGAACCAGTGACCATATCTCTTCGGCTGTTGCAGCAAGGGAAAACTTCTAGTTGCTTGGCCTTTCAGAGCTGTATGTCTGGTCACTCATTGGACACAAGACAGAGCATATCAGATGCCTCATCCTGGCCAAATCTGTTACTTGTAAAATGGTAAATTTATCTTGCACTGAAGAAAATCTGAAGTATGATGGGTCAGTTAAGACTATGTCCTTCTGAGGACTGTTGTATACTGAGGGCACAGCAGAAATTCAAAATACCAGGGATTGCTCTAGGGCAGTTCTATATAGGTGACACTTACCTTTTATTAAAAATGAAACTGCTCTTGAAGAAGTAAACCCACAGCCACCAGGATAGTACAGGATGCATGGAACCGTGTGTGTGTGTGTGTGTGTGTGTGTGTGCAACACCTGTGCAAACATGTGCTATATAGAATAAACGAAGATCAAAAATTTGCATCTTTGCTAGACAGAGACAAAGAGCTGAAATCTTAGGGACAATGTCTGGAAAGCAAGGAACTTGGCTAGGAGACTTCCTGGAAGTCCTTTGAAGTGTAACTTTTATTTAGACTATCAAGGGCATTTCGGCAGGGGATAAGTGTGTACTTTCTCTCTAGAGTCCTCCCCGATAACCCTGATAACCTGGCTTCAACTCAGAAACCACTAAGTGGGACCTCCCAGCTCCCCTTTCCCTTCTCAGTCACTGGCATCAGGGAGCTGGTGGAACTTTAAGGAGGTAGGGAAGGGCGGAGTCATGCCAATCCAATTTGGGGTGTTCATGACAAGTAAGAACAATTGAAAGGTAAATTACAGGTTCTTTTGCAACTTGGAAAAGCCAGGTTTTCAGGATCACCTGGCATCTGAAGTTGTTGCTGCCTGTCAGGGCTTCCAGCCCCCATCTTTCGGGTGAAAGCTAAGCATGAGGGTCCATGATACTGCAGCATGACCTCCCGCTAATCCTTCTCATCTTGAGTTGCGAGGCCACAGGGGATTAATTGCATACTAGGGTAGTGATGAGCATCCAGGCATCCAGGGCTTTTGGCATTATTCTTTCATTGGGAAGAATGCTAGCCCATATCCTTCTCTTTGGGCACCATCTTTGAAAAGATGACCATGGGTTTGGGGAGATGACTCAATGAAGAAAGTGTGTGAGGACCAGTGTGTGGTGGTGCATTCATTAACCCAGTGCTTGGGAGACAGATTCCTGGGCTTCACTGCTCAGTCAGCCTGGCCTACTTGGCAAGTTCTAGGCCAATGAGAGACCCTGTCTCAAAAAGCAAAGAGGCTAGCGAGATGGCTTGGTGTTTAAGAATGCTTGCTGCTCTTGCAGAGGACCCCAGTACAGTTCCCAATCCCCACACCAGGCAGCTCACAACTGCCTCTAGCTCGAGTTCCAGGAGATCACACACCCTTTCGACCTCCACAGGAACCTGCTCTGAGAGAGAGAGAGAGAGAGAGAGAGAGAGAGAGAGAGAGAGAGAGAGAGAGAGAGAGAGAGAGAGAGAGAGAGAGAGAGAGAATTCAAAATTAATCAAGGTGGGTAACTCTTGAGCAGCAACACTTGAGGTTGTCCTTTGGTCTCTGCTCAAACACACATGTGCGCGCATGCATGCTCACTCTCTCTGTCTCTCTGTCTCCCTGTCTCTGTCTCTCCCCCACAACACACACACACAACATTCACTCAAAGATGATCATGTTTCAGCTGACCCCCTGCTTGTGTACTCCGTCACCCTTTGAAGAAGCTTTTCCATTGAGATAGAAGCAGCTGCTTCCCGCTCTCTTCTCCTCCACAGAGAGTCCCAGGATCACAGCAGCTTAAGTAACCTACCTCATCAGTTTCTTGGGTCGATCTATTCACACAGGAATCTTCTTTTAAATTCTGTTCAGATGCTATCCAGGCCTGGGGAGGCAGCCTTATGTTGAGAGGGAGCTGTGAGGGAGGCTGAACAGTATTCCCTACAACGGTGAGAAGAAGAGACTTTGAAAGAGCAAGTCAGAGGCTGTCACATGGCCATGATTGTCAACTCCTCAACGACATTTTGAGCTAACATATTTTGCCTTCTTCCCTAATCAGTCTCTTATTTTTGGATCCTAATGGTATGTGTATGCTGGTTTAAAATGAAAATCACAGGGCAGGGAAACAGGAGACCTGAGATTTTGATGTCAGAAAGTCCCTCATTTTAGCTCCTTGTATTTAACATGCAGGGCTGGGCACAGGTGCCTAGGACCATCTCCTGATGGCATCCACATTGCTGTTGTATTTGAAGCACAAGCCATCAGTTTTCTAGGAGTTGATGTCTTAAAGATCTACTGTATTTTCCATAGTGGAAGAGACCATTAGCTGATATCCATGGGACAATGGAAATCACCCATCCCCGTGCTGGTCACTGTCAACCTGGTCATTACCCCGTTATCATGATCATGACTATATTTCAAATGTCCACACCCCTGGGATCTTATGGGGGCATTTGAACTTGACTCCAAACCGTAGGAACACTCTGCTCTACAAACAGACTTGGGGACCTTTCTATGGAGATTCGAGTATGGAATTACTAGAGATGGGAAGACGTTTATGGGAATGCTTGGCCTCCTGCTCAGGAGACCACAGGGCAAAGAGTGACTTTGGAAATGACCACCCACGCTGGATGAGAGCCTTAAAGAGTAGACTTGTCATGAGGAGGGGTGCCTAAAGAGATCCTTGAACTTGTGATAGGTTGAGGAGCGGTCTGGATACCTTGGATCTAGTCCTTTGCTTCAGCTAACTCAAGGTCATTTGTCAGTCAGTCCACCCTGCCTCTGTGGCTCAGTTGTTTTTTTTCCGTACATGCAATGGAGCAGGAAAGTAAAGAAGTTGCCTGTGAATAAGGTTTGTCGCCCGGCCTGCCCTGGCTGCTGTCTATTTCCTGATCGGTAGCTCATTGTCCCCTCAGCTGCACAAGTTGGAATTAGGGCTGTCCCATCCCAGGGAAGTCCATTACCAAAGAATACTTCAAAGATGTTTGCACATCTTGTCAGTTGCACTGAGCATGAGTTCGTTGAAGGAAAAGGCAAATAGACACACAGCTTGTGACAGGAGGGGTAGTGGGGGCTGTTTAACCCTGAGTGACTGCAAGTCAAGGGGAAAAAAAACCCAACTCTGCCTGTCATTTTGACCAATAAATAAAAATGGGGAGTGCTGAATGGTTAAAACCATAGGGGATTTATTAGTTTGCCTAGTGAAGGGCAAATATTAAGTCTGAAATTGACCCATCCTAGGACCTGCCTTTTGGCTTTTGTGACCTGCCAGGCGCTGATCTCTGCAGACTCCAAAGTTACTAAGTTCTGTCCGGTTTCTTTTTTAAAATTGTTGTCTGTCTCCCTCTTGCTCTCTCCTTTACCTATCCTTTCCACCTCCCGCCCTTCCCAGAAACTCAAGCGTGGGTTTTGGAGGAGGTGGAAGACTGTCTGATCATAAAGTTTTCTGTTCCAAGGGCTCTGGCTGGCCTGGGGTTGAGCTGCCTGCAATTCGGTGGCCTTGGGGAGTGAGCTTACTAGGTTGTCTTACAGATTCTCCGTCTTCTGACCTGGACTTCAGAGTGCTAATAGGCAAGTGGTAGAAAGACCAGACCATAGCTATTTATAAACCATAGCTTGCTGTCCTAGGAGACCATACCTGCTTATCCATGACAGGCAGCTTCAGCAGGCATGTCGAGAGAGAGGTACTATTTAATGAGGGGTCCATGACTATTAGAACAGAGGGGATGAGCAGTCTACATAGCTTCCAAGAACCAGGCAGCATATGAGCATCCCCAGTAGCAAGCAGTCCACTGCATTTGTGGGGTGCTTGGGTCTCCCTTGGGGTGCAGTACTGCAGGGCACATAGCTCCATATCAGACCCTCAGGGCTCTTATCTAGAGCTGCTCCAGGAGACTTCCTTCCCTGCCCCAGGCTTTACAGACAACTTTCCATCTATCGCTCATGCAGCCCACAGTGGGGAATGTTCTGGAAATGCTTCATGACGAAAGTCCCTCTCGTATTCCAGTAATGAGCTTTTATTGAATGGGGTGTGTTAGCTTTCCATAGCTTTAGCAAATACCAGAGATAATCGGCGTTTAAAGAAGAAGGGTTTATTTTGGCTCGTTGTTTTGGAGGTTCCGGTCAGAGCCATTGCTTGGGGACAGACCTGAGTGGAAACCTACGCCGCTCATTTCATGGCTGCATAGAGAAAGAAGGTCCCGAGCCCCACAGTTTCCCCAAGAGCATTTCCCCAATGGCATGAAGACTTCCCAGGAGACCCAGACCTTAACACAGAAGCCTTTGGGGTGTGTGTGTGTGTGTGTGTGTGTGTGTGTGTGTGTGTGTGTGTGTGTGTGTGTGTTGGGGGGATGTTCCAGATTCAAACTGCAGCCTACCATGTGATTTCAAATGCTTTGTGCCTCTGTATGGAAGAGCCCATGTTTTGAAGGATAGCTGGTAGGCACCAGGGGAAAAGCTTGTCTCCCGCGCACCCTTTTCTAGGAAGCCTTCCTTGATTTTTCCTTCCCTCTAAATCAGTTGGGACAGCCCTCTCATATTTTATGAAGCATGTTGCAGCATGTATGTATGTATATATGTATGTTTGTATGTGTCCCTTCTCCCATGACAGTATGTTAGTATTGAATTAACTACTTTTAGGTTGAATTATTGTGGGTGTCTGCTCTCTGCTTTTCTGTCTCCTCTTACCTCTTCTGTTAGAACAAGAGCCCAATTATTTCCTGTTGATTAGAAGCTGACCCCAAATTGCCCCCATGGTGTCCAGCTCTCACAATGAACACTCTGGTCTGCTGTTCACAGACGCTCTCTGGTCATCAGAAGACAGGCCCAGAGGAGCCCAGTGCCTTGTCCAAGCCTTATACAGGTGAGGGCTGGTTTGCAGCAGCAGCGGGGTCACTGACACGGCAAATGAACAAACAAGATGTGGAGTTGACTTTCCCTGTTTGCAGTCTGTCACCGCGTGTAGTGCCACATCTGCCTGCCTTTTGTTTGCCTTCTAATAATCAATAAAGTGTTATCAGAACAACAGAAAATATGTGAGCCTGACTGTTTGGTTTCCATGAAGAAAGTGGAATGTGACTGGGTTTTCCTGGTCCAACTGCAAAGCTAGGCTCATGTAACTTCAAAGTTTAGATCAAGGAGCCGGGGACTTGGTTCCTTTGGTAGAGTGCTTACCACACAAGCATGAGGATTCTCCCAGTGCAGGGGAGGCAGAGACGGGAGTATCCTCGGAGCTGCCTAGCTAACCAGTGTATCGGAATTGGTAAGCTCTAGGTTCGGTGAGAGCCCTGTCTCAAAAAGTAATGGAACAGATTGAGGAGGACATTTTGGCCACAACATACAGATATCCTCACATACATGTGTGTGACCACAAATATACCATATATACCCATAAGGTTGAAGCCAACGTTCTAGAGAGTTTGACCTTTCTAGTGCTGAAAAATCAAGAAAAACAACAACAAAATCACATCTATGTGCTTCCCTGCTCTCAGGGATTTTCCATGTAAAGAGGCTGAACAATGCTTAGACATTTGAAAATCAGTCATGTTTGTCCAATGAACTTCTAGTCAGTATTCCCAACGTATCTGGGCAGGTGTTCCTTACTCTGTACTCTAATATAGACTTCCCCAGGATAATGCAGCCAGAGACATTGGATACTGTCCAGTGGACCATTTTCAGGGGTGTTGGATGCAGACTCCAGTGCATGCCATCTGTGGTCAAAACAGGGAGCAGGGGTACCACTTAAGGGTCAGCAGCCCCAGAAAGGAAGTGTCAGTGCTGCTTGCTGTCACATCTCTCCCTAGGGGAGGTCGCCACAACAGAGGGGGAGAAGAAATGAGTGTGACAGAAGATTTTTTTTCATTTCTTTGTGGCAAAAGACTCTCCAAAGTTCATCCCTTCTGAATTCTTACAAATATGGCAATAGTCTGGACAAAGGGGGCATCATCTGTAAACCAGAGTCACCAGAGGTGGCCTCAGAGAAGGAAGAAATGTTAGGAAATTCAGAAAGAAAATTGGGCAGTTCAGAAAGAAACGAAGTTTAGAACTTTAGTCTTAGAGCTCTGGGTAAAATGTCTATGTCTCACTTGAATCTCTCTCTCTCTCTCTCTCTCTCTCTCTCTCTCTCTCTCGTGTGTGTGCTCACCTATGTGTGTTCATATAGAGGTCAGGGGTTGACTCTGGGAGGTCTTCCTCAATAATAGCTTTTCTGCATCATCACCACCTTGAGATAGGGTCTCTCATCAAACCTTACCATTTTGGCTAGACCAGTTGACCATCAAACTCTGGAGATGCATCTGTCCCTGTCCTCCAGTGCTAAGATTTTAGGCCTTTAGGTGGGTTCTAGGGAATCCAAACTAAGGTCTTCATGATTTGTCAGCAAACACTTTACCCATTGAGCCCTTCCCCAGTCTTCTGTGTTAATTCCTTGAGGAGAATCCATTGAGAACTATTGTTCTTATAGGTAAGGAAACTAAGACCAAGAGCCAGGGATTTGTCAGAGCACACCACATTAGGCACCCATCTCTGAGCCCAGAGAGGATTCCTCTATATTATAGCCACCATGGTATTAGTCTTTGCTAGCTGCTATAACAAAACACCATCCAATCTCAGTGTCTACCTGAGGTTTTCTTGTCTACACTCTGGTTGAATGCTGAGTTGGCTTCAGTGGATGCAGAGAAAGCTCTTTGTAGCAATGTTGGGACCCAAGGAGCTCTTTTTTGTTTTTGTTTTTGTTTTTGAAGATAGGGTTTCTTTGTGACTTTGGAGGCTACCCTAGAACTCACTCTTGTAGACCAGGCTGGTCTCGAACACACAGAGATTCACCTGCCTCTGCCTCTGCCTCCCGAGTGCTGGGATTAAAGACTTGTGCCACCACTGCCCGGCGACCCAAGGAGTTCTATATAATAAAAAACCAGAGTCAGATATAGAGGGAAACGCTGAGAGATCAGAGAGGAGGAGCAAGCCACAGCACACCTTGCCTCCTAAGCATCTCAGCAGAGAAGAGAGTGATTTCCTGTTTCTCCCTGCTTATATCCTGTTTCTTCCCAGCTATATCACTTTCTGTCTATCTGTACAGACCTCCAGACCTCTATGGCTAGCTAGTGGCAAACTCCGTTCTCTGACCACGAAGCAGGCTTTATTTGTGCAAGAAAGATATAACCACACAGGACACTATTACTCTGATTCCCCTGCTTTTGCCAGTGGACTATGTAAGAATACCCTAGTGTATCACTTCTACAGCCTGGAAGGACCACCTTTCTCTTCTGTCCACATTGCATTGGCAGGAATTGGTCAGTATGTTCCACTTGAATGCAGGAGATCTGAGAAATTCCCAGCCCTGTCACACAAATGCTGGTGAACACCAGTGGTTTCTGCCACACACACCAAATGTCCACTGCGACAGTGTCCTTTGTTGCTTTCATCGTGGTGACCTTTCAGCTGCATAAATTCTGGCCTCTTGAATGTGCTGTTGTCACAGCTGGTATATGTAGGTTCTAAGGTGTAAGGAAAGCAAGACAGAGATGAAGCAAAGCAGAGCCCTGAGTTTCACTCACCTTCAGCGGTGACCTCGTGTGATTCATTCACTCTTTCTGTGCCTTGATTCCGTGTGTGTGTGTGTGTGTGTGTGTGTGTGTGTGTGTGCACATGTTGCATGTATATAAGCAGGCACTGATGCACATGTGTGTATGTGTGTGGAAGCCAGAGGGCAAACTCAGGTGTTATTCATAGGAGCTGTCCACCTTTTCTTATTTTTTTTAAGCAGGGTCTCTCGCTGACCAACCGCCAACTGGCCTGTCTGACTCCGCCTCCTCAATCCTGGGATTACAAATGTGTACATCTGTGCATGGCTTTGTACATGGGCACTGGGGCTGGAACTCCGGTCTCCATGCTTGCCTAACCTCACCAATTCAATCTACCAGCTGAGTCATCTCCCTAGCTCCAGTTTCCTCCTCTGCTCTGCTTCTAAGTGGTTCTGAAGTCTGACTGAGTGTTGGCACTTGGAACAGAACTTGAAGCAACAGCACTCCTTCCGTATGTCATCTTGGCTTTATTTATTCATTCAGGGCAAGTGTTCTTGATATCCATTGCTTGGGAACCAAGCAGGATGATTAATCTTAATTGTCAGCGTCACCAGAGTGACACGCAGCTAGAAGATAGTTCATAAGGCACACCTCGGAGTGTGTCTGCCATGGCTTGTGCAAGGGAGAGTAGATCATGGGCACTCTAACCTAGTCAATGGTTTGATCCTTGCCGGCTTTATAGTTGGTGACATCCCTAAGGAGTGGTGGAAGGTAGGAGGTGGCATCTGGTTTAAGGACACAGGTGCCTGGCTCATGTTTCCCTGATCACTTCCTGAATCTCTCTCTCCACTGCCCGTCTTCTATGGCGGGACACCTCTGCGTTGTGTCCCACCACCATGACACTTTGTGCCAGTATGCCACGGCCCAAGCAAACATGGACTGAACTCTCTGAAACCATGAGCCCAAATAGATGAGACTTTAGTTTTAGATTGTATTGCCATTATTTGGTCACAACACAAGTCTGACTAACATAAGAAGGGTTTGTAGAGCCACTGCCTGATGACTCAGTGAGTGAAGGCATTCACTGCCAGTACCGAGTTCAATCCCTGGAGCCGTGCAACGGAGCTAGAGAACTGACTCCTGCAAACTGACTCACTTGCTTTCGCATTATGTTATGGAATGCATGCATGTGTACATTCACACAATAGGTCAATAAATAAATGTTAAAACGTTTAAAGAAGTGTTTGGGGTTTTGAAATATGTACCTCTAAAACCAAGGTATCTTGGAGATGGGTCCACATCTAAACTCAGAACTATCTTACATTTCAAATGCACCTGACACACACAACCTGAAGTTAAGCTTGTATGGTAGTTTTTAAACATCTGTTTTTAGTGGAGCACATGTCATGAGGTCAGGTGTAGGATTTCCCACCTGCGAAGTCATGCAGTACTCAAGAGCTTTCAGACTGGGTGGTGGGAGGCATTTGGGGATTTGTACTTTTGTACTGAAGAGTCCCAATCTGTGCTCTGAGCAAGGAAGCACCTGGGTCTAGACAGGAACAAGTAGCTTCAGATGTGCAAAACCTCTGCTGTGCACCACGTGGTAGCCAGGCACAGTGGGATTTTGCTCAGTGGTTTTGTCTATGATTGGGAACAGTCGGGACTATGGACGCTGGCCTCAGCAGCCAGTCTCAGCAAGATCTCATAGAATCGGTCCTTGCCATGCCTCATAAATGCAGTCTTGGGCGCATACACTGAACACTCGAGTCAGTCCTTTCTACGGCCTTTCTCTCTGGGGGCCAGATACCTTCCAGCTGCCTCCCTACGTCCACTTGCCAGGTTTACATCCCCGTCTCTACATCGCACTAAGACCCCATCACAGACCTCCACGGGCTGGGCATGGGCTCTCAGAACCGAGACCTCAGTGGTCAGCTCAGCCTGCTCCATCGTCTGCCTCCCCTGGTACCACAAGAGAATGGAAAAAGGTGGTTTGTTTATAGGGCACAGGGCCACGAGAGCATTAAAAAATAAGCAGCAAGGAAAAGATCCTAGACAAATTTCCCTCTAATACAGGAGTGCAGCCGTTCCTGCTGCCCGACACTGACTACTCTTCTGTTTGTATAAACTTTCATCTTTCGCAGTTACCATTCCCAGGGCAGGGCTGCCTATTTCTGCTGTTGATTTATTTTGATTTTGATCATTCCTCTCTACTTGAGCATCACACACCTAATTGTAAAGAAAATGGGTTTCCTGTGGGCACCTAGGGAACAACTCTTCCCTGGTCTCTCTGAAGCCTCCCTTTTCTTCCCATCACCCGTCACCCCCTGACTGGGTTGGAGGTGGTGGAGGCCAGCATGATAGACCTTTGGTGCTGGCTGGAAGCTGTGGCTCTCCAGGGGGGGCTCTGAGCATTGGTTGAGTGAGAACCAAGGAAGGAAGGAAGAAGATGAAGCCTGAGAGGGAGAGAGAGATGTGTTTTCCAAGGAAAACTGGAGCAAGTACAAAGGGCTGTGTGGGGTTGAGCATAACTTCCCAAGAGCACTCAGCCTGAGTTTTGTGGGAGCTGAAATCCAGAGATCTCACATTTCCTGACCCCAGCAGGTAGCTTATTGTAAAACAGTTCATCCAGAGGGAAAGCATTCCTGTTCTCTGCATTTCAATCTTTTCTCACTCTGAACCAGACTTGAGAGAGAGAGAGAGAGAATGGAGGTCGCTGCCTGGGTCCCAGCTCAGAAATACACGTGACTGCAGGATGGAAACCCAAACCACAAAGGCACCTTGGGATAAGTAGTCTACTTATCTCTAAATGCACGGTGGTGTGGCCCAGGACCCCTTTGTGTGCATTTTGAACTATTCCTCCTACCCGATGCTCAGATTCTCCTTGGTCTGTGTTTCCTTCCATGCTGACATGGAGGAGGGCGGGACACCCACGGTGGCAGCAATAAGTGTTGGTAATTCTCACATTCTCTTTTAAATTAGTTTAGCTCTCCCTGCCTTTGCGGGTGCGGTGTGCTGAATTCAGAGAGGCTGTGAAGAGCAGGGGTGGCCCTGACTCATTGACAAGTCATGGAATCTGTTTGGCTTGAGAGCTTACTCAGTGAAGATACCAGGAAGTGGCTTGGGTGGAGGGCGGGGCTGGCTCTCCTGCCACAGCTTCCACAGGAGCTGAGTCCTCAGGCGTCCCTACCCTCCAGCTTGATTGCCCCCACCCCCACCCCAGGTAATCCCCGCCATGTGCTCTGACTGCCATGATATGGACTGGCAGGAGTTGGGGGGAGGGGGAAGTGGGAAGGAAGGACATAGGTAACCATTATCTGCCCTCTCTGAAACTGTGAAAAGAAGTCTGTCTTCCTTGACCCGGACTTGGCACCTAGGTTAGAGTGGCAACCCGGGACCTTGGCATGGCAGAGGGTCTGAGCGCCTAGTAACTTCTGGCTAGCATTCGGTAGACGATTGTTGAGAGGCAAGCGGTTTGCTGGTGGAGTGTTTGCCCGGCCAGCATGTACAGAACCTGGGTTTGAGCCTTAGCATAGCTCAGAACTGGGCGTGGTAGCATACACCTGCAATCCCCAGCCCTGGTAGGTGGAGGCAGGAGGGGCCAAAGTTCAAGATCATTCTTGGCTTAGAAGGTTCTAAATCAGCCAGGCTTAACATGGCATCCTGTCTCCAGAACAAAACCCAAACGAGTAAAATACAAAAAGGCATGCTTCTGCTGTGCCTAGAACTACACAGTACTGTGGGTTCCGCGTTCCTTGGGAATGTGCTTTGGCTAGATTCTCCCAGAGGGAAGCAGGAGACTCTATGGAACCACCCAGATGCAATGCAGGGGCCCCGTTGAGGGCAATGGAAGACTCTAACATAATAGAAAAATCATCCTTCAACATCCTAGCACAGACAAAGATGTCTGCGGCCTCTGCTCCCAGACGTCTATCGTGGGAACACGGAGGTTCTGGTGAGCTCACTGAGGCTGCGAGCACCACTCAGCAGTTAGTAGCTAGGTTCCCTCTGGAGCCAGGCTCCTAGTCCCTCCTGGTAATAGGCTCCCCCAGTTGTCTCCCAGGACAGACACCGGTCCTGGAGACTGGAGAAGGCATCCTCTGCTGATGGGAGGGGAGGAGGATCCGCCCAGGCAAAATGCAGCCCAAGCAAAATCCACTGGTGGGGAAGCTTTGTGCCCACCGTCAGGGTCCGGTGCTCCTGGGTCAAGAGCGCTTTGAGCATGGGGTGCTGGGGGTAGGCCAGCCGCTGTGTGGGGAGCTGAGCTCTCCAGGGAGGGGAAGGCTTCATTGGGCTGCAGCCCCATGCTCAGTTCCGCTCTATTTAGAATCTTTTTTTTTTTTTTGAAAGCAGCTTTGAGGATGAAAACTCAAGGCCAAGGAAGCTGAAGCTGATTGTGCTGAGCTTTCTGAATTGAGGTGGGGGAGGGGGAGGGACCAGCCTGGCAACCTACGGGCTTCTCTGCCCTCAGTTTTCACCTCCTGCCAGCAGCTGTCTCCGTGTGGAATACAGTGGCCGTGAATGTATGCTGGAAACTTCTGAGACTAATGTTACCTGGACCAAGTGAGACAGACGAATAAAGCGTGTGACCCTGCGAACGCACACCTCTCTATGGCATGTAGGATTAGGGACACACAGGTCTTAGGTGGTGTGCCATGAGCCTCTGTGGTGAATGTGACCGTTGTCTTTGACATGGGCTCCCTGCCCATCACAATGGGCTCATCCTTCACCCTCCCCTCCACAGACTGAAGACTCTGCTAAAACAGAGTAGGTCGAGAGGGTTGTGGGTGGGCCAAGGATGTCTCAAAAGTGTCTCCGAAAACTTTTCCAAAACTTTTGCCTTTCTATCTTTGTTTTCCCAAAAGAACTTGGGGGTCTGCGGAGGGGCTCCCACTGACCCTGTGCGGGACTCTCTTTGGAGCCCAGCAGGACAGCTGATTCTATTCTGGATGTTCCTTGGCTGCAGGCTTCCTCCTTGAAGTAGATGGTAGCACACTTGACCCTCCTCGTCAAAGCAACTTTGGAGCAAAGCGCAGATGTTTGGGGAGAGCTTTGGGAGCAGGAGTGGGTTGGTGTGTGTGTGTGTGTGTGTGTGTGTGTGTGTGTGTGTGTGTGTGTGTGTGTGTGCGCGCGCACGCATGAGCGTGTGTAGATCAGAGGTCAACCTTGGGTGTCAACCATTTGGTACCACCACCCACCTTTTTCTCTCAGATAGTCTCTCACTGGCCTGGAAGATTCCAATTTGGCTAAGATAGCTGTCCAGAGAGTCCCAGGAATCCACATATCTTCCCCTCTTCAACACTTAGTACAAGCATGCACCTTTGTGCCTGGCTTTGTGTGTATGTGGTGTGTGTGTGTGGTGGGGGGGTATTCTGAGAATCAGTCAAGGTATCCGTGCTTGTGTGGCAAACACTTTACTGACAGAGCTATCTCCCCAGCCCTCTTTTTATTGCCTTCCAAGCAGCCAAGATCCTGGTTTAATTGGCCAGTGGGACTAGTGGAGCATTTTTATGTAGGCACTGGCAGCCCATGGCCATTAGTGACCTCAAATGCACGAGGCGCTATGTTCCTTCCCAGCTGGCCATCTACTTGTCCCTTTCCAGCCCTTAAGAGGCTATAGGTAAAGCTCCCAGTCAGGTATGGAGAATTCCTGGATGCTTGCTTGCTAGGAAGGGAGGGAGGAACTTCTAGATCTCAGCTGCAAAGCCTAGAAAGAGCACTTGTGTGTGCCACAGCTAGGAAAGTCATGTTGGTATCTAAAGGCAGAAGCTAGAGATGTTGTAGGAACCTTGTAGTGCAGGGGACAGCCACCAAACGGGATGATGTGCCCCTCCCTGTCGGGTGTCCTGGCCTAATGGGTATGCTGCAGACCTCTGCCACAGTTCTGTAGGTGAGTCCCAAGAGGACCTGCTGGAGTGTCCTGGGACTTCTGCTGAAGTATTCAGGTGCTTGTGTCACATAGCAATGAATTGGTTAGAAATAGAAACAGAGACGGTTGCTGAGAAGGGGTCAGTGTTAGTATTCAGGCATCTGCACTGGCTTGTCCTTGGGGTTCAGGTAGGATACGTCCTCAGCTGCAGCCACTAAGGGCACCACCCATGCACATTCACTACCTTCCCTTTTGGACGGGCCCCACCCACCTCCCTTCCTTCTCGCTCTCTGCCTCTCTGCCTGCCTCATTGACTCTCTGCCTGTCTGTCTCTGCCTGTCTGTCTCCCTCTCCCGCCCCACCCCCCCACC